GGTGCCCCGTGTCGACAATATGTAATTTGAGCCAATGAGTCGATTTCAGTTCCTTATTTTACCCTTAAATATGATTGTAATGGTCTGAAGCCGTCGCAACGAGACTGGACCTTAATGTGGTGCGACGGTTTGCGTACCTCATTGACCCATTGAGCTATACTGGGTGATGCCTCCGAGCATCTTGAGAGCTACTACTACCAGGTTGGTCAATGGTGAGAGGTCAGACAAACTCAGTCTCCTGGTCCTCCAGGTTGGGGGGTTTGAAATAGGATGGCGTCCATTTCTGTAAAACTAAATCATTGCCACCTCCCCGCTGCCTTGCGGACAGGCTTTTGAGCCAAAGGCTTTGGATGAGGACCCTAATTGTTCTCCTGTCTAGGTCTGGGCGCCCTGGCAGTATCCCAGCCCACATACAACCATGACATTTTCTTCAAACATAAACTTCATCCTGCATCGGCCGTCGCGCAGATTATCAAGGGTCGCCTTATCTGCTGCATACAGCAGGGCGGATAAGCGAAAGCATGCTACTGCTGGCGCCTCCCTTCTTTCTTTTCCACCTTTTTCTCTTACTCCCATCCCGACCCCCCATTACTAACCTTCCTTCTATAATTCCCAGCTTAATTGACAGCAACCGAAGTGCTACTGGAGTAGAACCATCTGCAGCCACCATCCCACAACACCTATCGGACGCCTATCGGCAAAAGTCCCTTATAAGGCCACGCTGTCCCGTTTCCATGGCGACATTCAACGTCCGCACTCTAAGACAAACAGGTCAGCAGGCTGCACTCGCACGCACCTTGGACACACTGGGTGTTGATGTGTGTTGTGTGTCCGAAACTAGGATTAATGACCCTAACGGGGTTATTGAATTGACTGCACCCGGCTTATCCTCTCGTTATTGGTTGCACGCATCCGGAGACGCCGATGCGGCATTCACGGGTCAAGCTGGTGTAGGTATCATTCTCAGCTCCAAGGCTGAGTCATCGTTGGTTGATTGGATTACGGTGAACAGCCGTTTATGTGCAGCCCGTTTGACGACATCAGCTAAGGTGAATTCGCGAAGTAAAACAAAACGCTGTTTGTTTGTGATTTCTGCTTATGCTCCCACCGACTGCAGTTCTAATGCAGTCAAGGACACTTTCTATCACGAACTGAACACGCTGCTACGCAGTGCTACTAGTTCAGATATTATAGTACTTGCAGGGGATATGAACGCACAAGTAGGGCGTCAGCTCGTCAGAAGCTCAGCTGGGTGGTAAGTATGGACTTAACTCCGAACGGACTGATAACGGCGAGCGTCTGCTGCAACTGTGTGCGGAGCACCAGTTGTTTCTTACTAGCACTGCTTTTAGACACAGTGGGCGTCGAAGTGCCACTTGGCGTCCACCTGTACCTGGTCAGCGATGGACCCAAATTGACCACATAGCCATAAGTTACAGGTGGCGCGGTTCCATTCTGGATTGCCGCTCTTTCTGGAGTACCTGTGTCGACTCTGACCATGCCTTGGTGCGCTGTCGTTTCTCCATGAGCTTTACCGGAAGGCGCACAAAGCGTCTCCCCCGATTGGCAACGGAGAAATTGTCCCAGCCCTATGTCAGGCAAGCCTATCAAGAAGCACTGCATAGTGAACTCTCGCTGTCTTGTCCTAATGATACTGAACTTCAGTGGAATAGGATCTTGGCCACTATGCACGACGCAGGAGCATCTGCTTGTGGCACTATCAGTCGTCATCGCACCAGTCACTGCATATCCGATAGGTCCGTGAACCTTTTGGAAGCTAGAAGGCACCTCCCGGCTGGTTCTGAACACAATGTGACCAGACGGGCTATTAGGCGTGAACTAAAGCGGAGCCTACGTGCTGACAAGGAAGCGTGGTGGACCAGTCGGGCTCAGGAAATGGAGGAGGCAGGAGCAGTAGGCAATTACCGGAAGCTCTTCCAGCTAATACGCACCACTGGTCCGAGAAAACCAGGCGTCAGTGAGACAATCGGGGACAGCGCGGGTGCGCTGATACACAATAAGGAGCGCCGTATGGCTCGTTGGGCTGAACACTTTGAACATCAGTTCAGCTGGCCCCCTGCTCCCGGACCTCTTCCTACTCAGGTGATGCAGGACGAGCCATGGACGGTTAGTTTAGAGCCTCCGTCGGAGGCCTAGGTCCGAAACGCGATCACAGATCTTTATTGTATCCGTGCCACTGGCCCGGATTCCCTCCCACCTGCACTATTTAAGGATGAAGGTGAGGTCCTCTGCAAAGCACTGACCTCCCTATTCGAAGGTATCTGGAACGAAGAGAGTGTGCCGGCTAATTGGAGCGAATCGATTATAGTGGCAATATACAAGAAGGGCAGTCGCACAGACTGTGCGAACCATAGGGGTATTAGCCTAACGCCAGTCGTGACAAAATTTCTGGCCTCGATTATCGTTCGTCGCCTCACTGCAGAACGGGAATCTCGGATTAGAGAAGAGCAGGCCGGTTTTCGCCCAGGACGTGGCTGTATAGACCATATATTTACTTTGCGGCAGGTGCTAGAGCAGCGCCACGCATACCGCAGACCGACAATAGCTGTGTTCCTCGATTTCAAGAGTGCGTTCGATTCAGTCGATCGATCGATTCTGTTCGAAATACTTGCGCGGATAGGTGTTCCCACGAAATATGTGAACATCCTTCGTGCTCTATACTCGAACACTAGAGGCCGCGTCAGGGTCTATGGTGCCCTATCGGATAGCTTTTCGACTACAAGTGGCGTTCGTCAGGGTTGTCCGATTTCCCCAATTTTGTCGTGGATTCTATCATGGAGTGTTCCCTTGCGGAATCTCACGATGTAGGTGTTGAAGTGCTGCCTGGTGAACGGTTAGTTGATCTAGATTATGCGGACCATATCGCCTTGCTTTTCGACAGTGTTGAGGCGACACAATCAACCCTGAATAGCCTATCCAGAGTGGTCCCATTATTTGGTATGCACTTCGCACCTTCAAAGTGCAAAGTGTTGCTGCTGAACCACCAGCCACTCGATGACCCGTTGACGCTTGCTAACGAGGAACTCGAGGTGGTTGATCAATTCACTTATCTTGGCAGCTGCATCAGCAATGATGGGCGCATAGAAACTGACGTCAGCTCACGCATTGCAAAGGCCAGAGCTGCCTTCTTGAACCTGCGTCATCTTTGGCGACAGAAGGGAGTTTCCCTCCGTCTGAAAGGCCGTGTATACAAGGCCACAGTGATGGCCGTTCTGCTCTATGGTAGTGAGGCTTGGCCGCTTCGGTCTGAACATCTAAAGCGCATTCAAGTCTTTGATCATCGTTGTTTGCGAAGCATTGCTGGTGTCGGATGGCACCAGCGTGTCCGCAACGATGATGTGCGCATGCGAGTACTGGGTGGTGATGATCATGCTAGCTCCCTAGAACAACAGATAGCACTGAATAAGTTGCGTTGGCTCGGGCACGTGCTCCGCATGCCTGGTCACCGCTTACCTAGGAGGGCCTTGTTCAGTCTACCAGGTGTCGGATGGCGCAAGGCTCGAGGTGGACAGAAGTTGACTTGGCAGCGGGAAATGAAGTCACTGCCGACCAAACTGGGTGCCGTTGGTCCGTCTCGCCTTCCGGGTTGGAGTCCACGTGACTCACCATGTGCTTGGCTCGAGACTTTACAGGACATGGCTCGCAACCGACACCAGTGGTGCGTCTGCTGCCGTCTCCTAATCGGATTGTCTGTTTACTGTGTGTTTGGTGCTGAGTTATCTGCGGGGTAATGGCTGATTATGACGCGTGGCAGTGAAAGCCGCAAGGAAGCTGTCTCGCCGATGCCGCCTTATCTTTGCATGATAGCCAGCTGTTTGTGACGGTATGTTGTCTACACAAGGTGTAGGCGCCTTGACCCTGAGTGTTTGCTTAGGGCATTAGGGTTTTCAGGTAAGTCCCCCTTCTCTCCCTCTTCTTATTCTTTATTTCATAGGTTCTCATGGTTCTTTGGCAGCGAAGCATCAGTTCAAATGGCTGATGTACTGCTGTTGATGATGAATGGTCTGAAGAGAATCATCGAAAACAATTGTTCACCTATGGTGTCGTATTCTTTTAAACTGAATTTCTTGCGAATTGCACTCTCGCATCGTCTCCGAATGTTTGCATATGAGCCTGTGTCCCAGTTTAATTCCCTCCTCAACTCGCGTCTCATTCTTTCTTATTATTGTCGTCTACTTGTTCATGACAATTTGGCAGCACGTAATGTTACAAACTGCTAATGTGCTGGTGTTGTTGATTACGATGCTCGCGTTTTCACGTTTGTTTACTCTGTAGCCGAAAGGATTGCTCGCCTGCCTTGTTGTCTGGAGGTCATCGGCTGCAATCTGCGTAGGTGCGGGCGGCCCCGCCGTGTACCCATCTCGCTCGCGCGACTGTGGGTCATCGCGTGGCAGCGAAGCGCCAGTATGGCGCTGACTCCTATCTATCTCTATCTGTGTACACTACAGTCTCGCTCTTTTGCGATCCCACGGGCTGTTTTTCCCGACTGTTTTCTTAAGGACACAGCGTTTTGTCTTCTTCGGGCACCAGGCCTTGCACCACTGTAGCTGACGCACATTTCCCCTCGTTCGACGACTGTGCAAATGCCTAGGTAATTTCTGCCAAGAAATTCCTCGTGACCCCCACCACCACATGCGTCATTTTTGGGGGGAAGTTCACCCGTTGAACATCCGTTGTTTAAAAATGGCATCCGTTGCTGAATTATCAACGGCCCACAATGACTATCATTTTGAGTTTGGTAGCTTTTTCCTTTGACGTTTGGCGCCTGCTCCCATTACTACAATACCCCGCATACTTTCTCTTTGGATACTTTGCTTCCGTCTGAATCTACTTCGATACTTCGTGCAAATTGTGTAGGTCACTAATTTCTCCTAGCGGACATCCATTTGATAACTGCTTTATTTCTCTGGACGCAATTGTTGTATCTTGTGGTGAAATCTTATGTTTCTATTTCATTCTGTTACTTTTTCTATTGAAAGTCCTGGCGGTATTTGTGGATCGACGATGCCTTTTGGCAATTTCTTTTCGTCCTCATTTTGGCTGTGATTATCGTCCTATGGAGACCCACTGCTTCCAATCGTGAATACGCCTACTCTTTGCTCGATGTGGGAACAGTCGACGATGGATTTGACGATGCGGATGAGGAAGTACTTCTCGATCGAGTTGGCCATGAGAATGGTTAGTTCGTTTGTGGTCATTGTGTGGTGGTTTACTTCTATGATTCTCCCTTCTTGGATTACTTTTATATTTTGGCTTTTATTGTCACAAACTGCGCCGTCGTTTTGTCAAAGGCTGCTCGCGGAACTCTGGCTTAGTGGCCATGGTGCAAACCATCAACCACTTTGTTATCGAGTTCCCCTCAGATCAAGCTATCTCTACCCGTTGAGTCCGAATCAGGACGAAACCGGTCGGTCGTGAAGAGCGCATCCGATACTCTCCACTTCGGATGCGGTTCCAATGCTCGAAATGGCATAGTTTTGCTACAAAGCAAATTAAAGCCTGAATCGGTGTATCGTGTTGCAATCCAGACACACGGCGGATACTCCAAGACCCAATAATGAACTGCTGTGTCAAACGCTGCTCATGGTATTCTAGCCTAGTGACCAAGACGAAAGCTATCATGTGTCGAGTTTCGCTCTCATCTCAGGCTATTTCTACCTTAAGAGTCTGAATCAGGAGGAAACTGGTCGGTCGTGGAGTACAGTGTTAGAAGAAAGCAGCTCCGAAACTGTCCACTTCGGATGCGGTCCCAGTGATCGAAATAGTATAGGTTTGCTTCAAAACAAACTGTAACCTCAATCTGGATTGTGTGTCACAATTCAGACACACGACGGATACTCCAAGACCCAATAATGTACTTTTAACCGCTTTGTCAAGCGATACTGTGGAGCTCGGGCCTAATGACTAAGGCGAAAACAGTCAAGCACTGTCCTGAGCTCACCTCTCAGCTCAAGCTATCTCCACCTGACTAGTCCAAATCCTGACGAAATCGATCCCTCGTGGAGTGCAGTCTTGGGAGAGAGCAGCCTCTAAACTCTCCACTGCTTTAAACGATCGCTACGTGATGATTCCTGCATTCATGAGTTTTTTCGGGCAACTTATTTTGCTTATTTACCAAACCATGACATCTTAGAGGAGTACCAAATTATTCCATGGGCCTCTCTTCTTTGCACAACTTCCTCAGGTTGATTACCAGCTTTGGATGCCCATACGTAGAAATCAGTCATGGAGTGCAATGTACAAAATCAGAAACTCCGTGTGTGCACTTATCTCTCGTGTATGTGGCTAAAAGGTCGGACTCCAAAATCGCTGTCAGCGATAGGAACGCTCAGCTCTGCCACTCTTCCGAGTCGAGAAATCGCATAAAAGTGGCTGTTCGGATTGCAGTGACACTCGACTTATAAATTTCTAATGTTTGCATCAATCTCTTCACTCAACACATAACTTCGCACCACATACAAATACCATCTCGTGTATTGATCATCACACGACTAGCTGTGTTTGACCCGAACACTGACCTCATCGCCATTAGCCACAGACCGTTCGTGTTCATGGAGCTTCCACCTGCATTTTCTCATTCCTTTTACTAAGCAGTCATTTAGCACCATATATATGTCTCATTCTTGGAGCCGGATTAGTCTACTATCCAGTTCCTTTCGATTGGGCCCCATGTAGTCACTGGTTCTTATCTCATCCGGAATACCGTTACCCGTACGGTTTAGAAACACTTTGTTCATCAAGTCGATAGATTTAGAGATTAGTTACATTCCATCGTTGTCGTCACCGATTATATCGTGTCAGGTGGGAACACCGCGTGAGCAACGAGCATGTATTTAGTGCAGGGAGAGCGATTAAACCACTGGCATCTATGGCTGGGCCACGTGCTGTGTATGCCAGCCCACCAGCTTCCGCGACATGCGATGTTTGCGCGATCGGGGTTTTTGGATGTAAGAGGAGGGAGGACGGGAAGCCAAGCGATGACTTGGTCAATAGGAATGAGGACTCTCACTTTGAACATGGCGTCGATTAATGTCTCCCGACTGCCTACCTAGGGTCCGAGCAACGATGATCACGTCTGGTTAAATACACTTGCTGACATGGCTAGGAGCCGACCACAATAGCGTTCGTGTTGTAAGTATTTTTGTCACCCCCTCCAGCTTATCGTCCCTCTCCAACCACCACACACCTGAAGCGTAATATGGTACAAAGCATTATTTTACCTGTATTTTTGTTTTTTTTATTTTAGATAATCTGTCGTTTTGCATTACGGCGCTATAGCTCACATTTAGTTATAATGGTGATGATGGTGGTGGTGATGGTGATGAGGATGATGACGAGGAGGAGGAGGATGAAAGCTCTATATACTAGCGAAAACAGTAACAGGACACCTTACTTACTTGCTTTACTCTACTGCGGCTAGCTCCTACGACAATGATCCGGCTTCATGAATGTCGCGAATTGCAGCTGCCAAGCGCGGCGGTCGGCGACAAGCTCCACACAGACACTGATCCATTGATTCCTCCAGTGACGAGCACCATGCACAATATGGAGTCCCAGTAGATCGACATCCACTTTCACTGCAGTGAGCCACCTTTTCAATTGTCCACCACGGCGACGACACCAACCCTGGCAAGGCGAGGGTGAAACAACGGCCCTAGTGAAGTCAGTGTCTGGTCTGCGGAGGACGTGACCGAACCACTGAAGTCTGCGGCGTTGGATGAGCGTTGTGAGCTTCGGAAGACCATAACAGCGCTTACGGATTTCGTCAATGGTGATACGCTCACACCACTGTGTTTTAAAGATAAGTCTTAGGGACCAATGATCGAATACTTTCAGCTTCCGGGTGTCTTCGGATCGCGTCGGCCATGTTTCGCAAACATAGAGTAAAATGGCAAGAATGGTTGCTGAGAATACTCGGATCTTCGTTCTCAGACTAATTTCCGCCCTTCGCCACAATGTGTTTCTCAGTTGTAAGAAGGCTGTTCTAACGCTGTCAATACGATTCCGGATTTCGGATGTAGCCTGACCATTGGGGAGTATAGTGGATCCAAGATACTTGAACTCAGGAACAGATTCGATGACTTGTCCAAGTAAGGAGGGCGACGGGGAGGACTGGGTGGCTAACTATGAGAAGTATTTCATCTTGCTGATGTTAATTTCAAGACCGATCATAGAGGCTGATCGGTCGACCCGATTTAGCAGTGACTGTAGTGATATAGCATCTTCCGCAAAGATAGCGATATCATCAGCAAATTCTAGACCTGACAGCCAGAAGTCAGGGCTAACTTGAACACCACGATAGCCCTCAAGGGCATGATGCACAACCCAGTCGACTGCGAAGTTAAACAGCATTGGAGAAAGTGGGCAACCCTACCGGACTCTAGTAGTGATGTTGAGTTCCTCTGTTGCTTCTCCAAAGACCCGAATCCGGGCTTTCGTGCAACGGTCATAAGATCTTATCAAGTTAAGGAGTTTAACCGGCACGCCATCGACAAGTAGGATTCTCCAGAGTGCTTCGCGGTCAACTGAGTCAAAAGTATCTCGAAAATCAACGAAGCACACATAGGTGGGCTGCTGGAACTGGTAGCGGTGTTCGAGTGCTCGACGCAGAGTGAAGATTTGGTCAGTGCAGCCTTCATCTGGAGGAAAGCCATCTTGGTTATGGCGAGTTCGCAGATTCTGCTCATTGGCAAAGCGGGAAAGCAAGGTTCGTACGAAGGTTTTGGAAGCCAAATCGATTAGGCTAATCCCGCCATAATTACTGCACACAGTTCGGTCACTTTTCTTGGGAAATTGCAGTAGTACTGAGGTACTCCACGAGGAAAGACAGATTTTCGTCTCCCATATCGAGCAGTAGAGCTCGTGCAAATGATCAAGGAGAGCTTGTAGACAAGATTTGTAGATTTCCGTTGGAATCCTGTCCGCTCCCGGGCTTTCTTCGGTTTCAAGTGACGAAGGATGTCTGCAGTTTCTGTGGGAGATGGCGGTGAACAATCCGCGTCATAACCTGGCTGGGTTAATGCTGAAATGGGTGCGGTGGTGTGTAGTGGGGGGTTTAGGAAGTTACTAAAATACCCTACCCACCTGGAAACTTTTCCTTCCCTTCTTGGGAATGTTTTGGCCTTCCGAATTGCTCAATATCGCTTGTGGTGAATGGCGCTTGCCGGAAGCTAAACGGATGAGAGGAAACAGATGACCCAAATTGCCGGAATTCGATGCAGCTTCCATGTTGCCTGTGATATCAGACCAGTAGCTGTTGCGGTCATTCTGTGCTGAGCCGGTTGCTTCATATCTCAAGCGACGATAGTCTGGGGAATTCGTGAGACGTGCTTCTCTCGTTTTAGCGGACAAGTGGATAGTATTTTCAGTGATCCAATCCATCACAGGCATAGGGTTGGAGCCCAGGATAGATAAAGCGGCGCGTTGAACTGACGATTTTAGCTTAGACCAACGAGCGTCCACAGATTCATCTTCTGCAATTACGAGGTGTGGTGCACTGGCAGAAATTTCTGTTTCTATTGCTGCCTCAAGCGATCGGCAGTAGTCAGTATTTTCTAGTGGGACATTGTTGACACACTTTGGTGGAAGGGTCTTTCGGCGCGTTGTCAAACGGAGTCTGACTTTGGCGCGCAGGAGTACCTTTTCCGAACCACCTTTATTGCCTGTTTCAGCCCCTCTGTACGCTCGACAATCATCGAGGGAGGACATCCACCTGAATCGGATTAAGATGTAACCTATCTGGCTTGCTGTACGACCATCGTTGGAGTACCAAGTCAGAAGATACTTCCTGGGATGCTAGAAGCGAGTATTGGTTACGCACAACCGGTTAAGGTCAGCGCGTATATCTCCCGAGTATATGACGGGTTTGATCGTTCCTAGGACCGGTTCGAGCATTCCAGTCCCCAGCAATAATGAGGATGTCGCCTTTTAGAACATGGTTCACCACTGTCTGTAGTGTGTTGTAAAATTCGTCTTTTCACTTTCCGCTAAGGGTAGGATTGGTGCGTAGACAGGGATTATGTTCAGATTCACCGGGTGACCTTTGATGTGTGCTATTGCTATTCTAGCTGATACTGGCTTCCATGCAAGGAGAGCGTAGTGGTCCTGGCAACTGAGAGCCATTGCGACCCCTTCATTGCCAGAATTATCTGTGGTAAAGCCATTATGAGGTGTTTACACCAGGCACTTTGATTTGTCGAGAGCCATAACCGGGTATACGAGATTATGATAGGCATACTATGTCGATCTGGTAGTCATGTAGTGTGCACATCGTCAACGCTTGGCTGCGGACATCCAACAGGGTTCTGACTTTCCAGCATCCAATGAATGGTGTCTTCTGGAGATTGAGGAACCCAGCTAGCTTACTTGTCACTCTGACCACTGGGTTAGCGTAGAGCGTGTCGCCTACCGGGAACGCCGTAGCATGAGAAGAATCGCGGGTAACGGACATATCATGGAGTTTCGTGGGGAATATGGGTACCTCTGTGGACCCCAACCTCATCCGGCTTTTGTTCGAGGGCTCACTAGCTTTTGCACAGCTAAGTGCTACCTGCAAGACAACAGGGACCTGGAAGATTGTCTTAACTTCTGGCCGTTGAATCAAGATCGATCTCTTCCGCCCAGTTGTCAGGACTGACGTTGTACGCGAGTACGAAGTCCCCGGGAATAGTACTCCCGGCTACCCTCACCTGGTTTAGCCTGCCTGCCTGACGGTTGACCGAGGTGTGGCCGCTGCCGCATGCAAGCAGCTTCTTGGAGCCACAGCTGAGAGCTGGGTGACAGGTGGAGACCAAAGATAGGCGGACTACCGCGGAGGGTAAGGCACGTGACCTACCAGAGGTGCTTCTCCTCCCTGGCACCCCGGACACCCCACCAGAGCACTGCAAGCTTAATGCATTTTGTCCTCTGATCAAATTTAACCTCATTTGAATTTTACATCCTTATCTCCTACATCAGCCGATCGATTTGTTTCATCTTGACTTTAATTCGCTGCGTCCATCTCCATTAAACGTCTGCACATTTTTATGAGGCTTCTAATCCTCCATCACTATTTTCAGTTTTCTCACATTTTGTTGCTAAATCCCCTCTTAATCATTCTAGAGACCCTGTGTTACTAATTTTATGTAATCCAATATATTGTAATGTTTGTCCGCACGCCGCGTGAGACGACAATTCATAAGTGATTGCAGATATTTGCATCCACCGACGTTTGTGCTACCTCATCTTGAGAATTACTTCGGTGACAGTTTTTGATCAGGTTTTCCTATCTCAACCAATGATGTTTTTCGCATAAATATGTACTCTCCACTGGGTGCTCACAATGTAACCGCCTCTCCCCCCCCCCCGCTCATCGTCTGGTGACCAGTGTGTCACTTTTCTTGTCGCATCATTAGGGTAGCTGGATGTGACGGACTGTCTGCTCACTCGCAACGCTGCACTTGTTTGCCCCTTATCGCGTGCTGCTGCTGCTTACCTTCAAGTGACCTCCAAGCCCTCGGTGATCCAAGTAAACGAACTTCATTTCGAAGTCCGTTCCGATTCACATTGAGATTGCATATCGCAGCTCATTCAAAATGAAACTTCATAGGCAATGCACTTTCTTCTCTGGAGAAACATTCTTTTAATCTTAAGCCATTAAATTTTTCTTTTGTGATAAACATTCTACATGTGGACACTGAACCTCTTCTTGGATTCTATTGTGTTTTCTCTATCACATTTCGGTCGTACTCATCCTCTAGATGATTCGGAAAAGGTTCGCTCACGACTGCTTGACGACATTGGAGGAAATCGAAAGCCTACTCCGGATGCAGAAACTCAAGTGCGTGACTCTTATCTAGCCTTTCGCCAGTTTGTTTCAAATGGATTTTTTGAACTAAATGCGCTGCTGCACCTTTCTGTCTTGTTACTTTCACTGAATGGTCTGCTTTGTCACAACTGAGTGGTTTTAACCTCACAGTGGGTTCAGTGAACGGACTCTGTGCTCCAATCTGCGTATTTAAGTTCTGGGTAAGTGTTGCTTCTCGATAGACACTCATCGAGCAGGCACGAGTGATATCCACGCGCGCGTGCTATTATATCCATCTTTTCTTTGGATGACTGGTCCCTGCTTGCTTCAAGCACCCGAGAAACTGTAAAACCTTTGAATAGGTTGTGTGAGGCTGTGTGCTTTTCCCTCTTCTAATCGCTCAGTGCTCCTACCGGCGTTTATTTTCTTGTCCCTTGCTTTGGTGTGGCATAGCCAAATGTTATTCAAGCTTTTTATTCCGCTATCGAAGCGATCATTTTTCGTTTGGTATGAATGGATAAGCTTCCCACCATTGCAGCTTATCACGCGGTACGCAACCGGCCAAATTAGTCGTTAGAGACTGTCAACTGCAACACAGTTATGATGCCAGAGAGTGCGTTGCACTCTTTTTTCATTTTCCATCTCTAATTATTCTCTCTGGAGACCTCAGCTCCTGTCCATTCTTCTTGATCTATGATTCTGATTATTTGGCATCTGCATCCCCGGGCTTCGCTACACGGATTGTGACCGATAAACTGAGCCAAACTAATATTGAGCCTTATCACGAGTGGTAGATTGTGTACCGACAGCTTATTTGGCTACGTCACGACACGACAACGATCCGGACTTCGGATGACCACTGGTGCTCCACACATTATCTTGTCTTGCTTAGTCAGCTGGCTCATGAACCTTGACCGCAGACCGTCTCCTTGGGTGAGAGTGTTGATGTGTTCTCCGAGCCACAGGTATTCTCAATAACCTCTCCGTGGGTTTTGGGCGTCCTCGCTTCCTCACTTATCCACAGGCTCGTTGTGCTTCTTTGATCACTTGTCCAGACTGGCTCAAATGGTATGCACGCTACTTCTTCAGTCCTGACTAACAGTTTTTCGACGCCTCGCCGACGTTTCTACTACTTCATCACATACTCCGCATTGAAATTTTTCTTTGAACACGTTGCCTTACCTGCTTTTCCTTCCTCTACAGATGCCTTCGCATCATCAGACACGGACTGCTGTTCCAGCCACGATAGTCGAACGGTACGTTTTAATATTTTAACTGTGATGTTTTGCACTGTGCCTGCATGAGGAACGCATAGTTGTGTGTCAAGGTTACCAATTAACCGGGACATGCAAACCACGGCCGCGTATTCCGTGAGGTGAAATCTTTAGCTTGTGCCCGCGGTTCTTGTGAAGTAATTATTTAGCCTGTGATTGATGTATGTTCTATGACCACGTGACCGTTTTCGACTCCAAATCGCCATCTTCTTTATCTGCTTCGTGGTCATCCTGTTTCATTGGGACGTAGAACAGCTGACACACGTTTGAGTTCCGGGCATCTCGCCCCGCTGAATGCCCATTCACAGACTGCGACCGATAAAACCGTTACTTATGTTCTTTCATTGAAGTACTGCGTTGTCCACACTGCACCCCAAGTATCACAATCAAGTGCATAGAGTACTTTTTGGGTTGACTACTGTATTTATCTTACATATCTCCCTCTCTAGCTCTCACCAGGTGGCCACAACGACCTTGTCCTCGCCCTGTCATCAACACCACCGCCTCACTGGGCCATTTAGATTGTGCATCTTTCATCTTTGGGAACCATGGCTTAGTATACTGAGAATTGTTCACCCTGTACGCACAATACCCGTATGCGTATCACACGCTTTAGCCACTGCGGCTTATTTGGTTTTTATCCCCTAATCAATGCGACCTCGTTCGGCATTTGGACTTTTCCTCCGTCGCCTTACGCGCTCTGGGACCACAGAGGCGTATCTGCTTGCTGGCTTCACCTTCTGCGACCGTAACACGGTCACTGTTTGTCAAAAGTCCGTAGGGTGTCACATTGGCCCATCTATTGAACTCGAAGCACTTAAGCTAACCAGATCACATCTTCCTTGTTGGGTAAAACCTCAAAGTATCCAATCAATGGTATTGGAATGCGGAGTAGTTAATTTCGCCGACCGAACAGGTTTGTTTGTCGTCACAGCAATGAGTGGAGATCCTGTCTCGACGGACGCATCTTCAACCTCAGTGGCACTCTTTTACCTATGTTTTCAATATGTCAGTGCTTTCAAAATTGACCTTTTCCCATCCACTTTTAAACCTCCTTCTTATGATACGTGATTCAGAGCGCGGTTTGGTTCACTGCGTTTTTGGTTCACGGATCCTATATGTGCAGTCGAATTGGGTTGGAAGTGGTGTTGTTCAGTCCCCTCATCCTGTTCACAATCGGCCAGGCGAATTAATTTTTTTCGGGTGACACAATGTGTCAAGAGTCACTTTTCCTCTACACTACTTAATTCACCTCTCTCTTTTTGGGTCAAACATGAAACGAAATGTCATTCCAAGGACACGGTAATTGAAAAGCTCATTATGTTTTCTACCTTCAAGCTGTTGTGGCCCTGTTAACCATCCAACGTTGACTGATGGAGACCCCCCCCCCCCAAGATGTTTTAAACGCGTTGCAAACGATATCAGCCTCCAGCTGTTTGCTAAAACTTCCGGAATACCGCCTGACGCATTGAGCTGCTTTCTTTTTGGCTGGGCCCACTGTCTAATGCGACTTTTTCAGTTTCCCTCTGTGCACAACTAGGGTGTAAGCATCGTTTTGCTTCATTTTTTTGCTAGTATTCTGTTGAACGACTTGTAAAGACATTCTCTTTTCGTCTGTGATTGGAGTTCTTTTGTGTAATGTTTTTGTTTTCAAACGGTACTGTAGCTGACTGATCGAACCATCCGACCATCGTGTGATCACTACATCTAACTACTGGTGGGTCTTATCTTGCTCAGCAGCATACGTTGTGGTAAGACCCGGATGTGCACTGTTGCGCATTTTGCTTGCATACGAGATGTCGTCATGCGAATCCCTGATTAGTAGTTTATCGTCGACACAGCACTTGTTTAACTTTGTCGACCTCGTAGCATCCCCTCCATTTTTACTACTTTCCAAATGATCTGTTTCACTCGAATCTTCCGTCACATAGCTTCATCCCCAGACACTGAAATAGTCAGCGATAGAACAAGTAGAACTTTCTCACTTCTAGACTCAGTCAGACAGCCATCACCAACTCGGAAAAGCGCTGTACGACCGTTTCATCCTTTTGCTTATTGGATATTGAGCGGTGCCATGTCGTATCTAGTAACGTAGTAATGACGTTCGTTATCATCCGCCGTAGCCCAGTGCTTTTCACCATGGACTTGTGACGGTCGAGTTGTGGGCTTCTTAGAACAACAGATAGCACTGAATTCGTTGCGATGGCTTGGGCACGTACTATGTATGCCCGGTCACCGCTTACCGAGAGGGCTTGACTTGTTTGTCATACGTAGGGTGGCGCAAGGCTCGAAGTGTACAAACGTTGAATTGGCAGCGGGAAATGAAGTCACTTTCGACAAAACTCGGGGCCATCGGTCCGTCTTGCCTTCCAGGCCCTGTGCTTGGTTCGAGAGGTTACAGGACATGGCTCTTAGTCGGCATCAGTGGCTCGTCTGCTGCCGTCTCCTAGTCGGACTATCTGTTTAAAGTGTGTTTGGTGTTGTGTTATCTGCGGGATAATGGCTGATTATGACGCAGAGCAGTAAAAGTCGCAAGGAACTTGTCTCGCCAATGCCGCCTTATCTTTGCACGATAGCCAGCTGTTTGTGACGGTTTGTTGTTGACCATAAATGCTTTCTTAAGACATTAATGTTTTCTCCTTAGTCTCCCTCTTATTATTATTCTTTTCTTAAGCCCTTGTGGTTGTATAGCAGCGAAGCATCCGTTCAAATGGCTGACGTACTGCTGTTGCTGATGATGATAAGACCCACATGGGCCAGATGGACAACACACTGCTGCCGCTTCCCGACACAATTAATCGGCTATACAGTTCTTTTCCGGAGGTGTGAGATGGCTGTCTGACTGATTCCATATTTGATGAGCTTCTACTTATCCCATTCAATTTTCCTACAATTGTGGACCGGTTGCTTACAATCTTCTTACTAGTCCAAATTCAACAGCGTCACCCCATCTTTTTTAGTTTGGGGATCAATTGCATATGTTTGTTTATATTCGTTACTATATTTAGTTTTGCTGCATATTTGCTTTTCCATGTTGCTACTATCAATTAGACAATGCATATTTGCCTGTTTGTACGGCGCATCCGTACAAGCACCAAATCTTTGAAGGGATACAAGAAGTTATTCTTGTCATATTGATGTCCCACTTAATGAGCCAAACTTTCACAGAACTGCTGTTCTGAAAACAGGCAAAAGTAAACCCAACCAACTATCTTTTACTCGTACTTGGTGTGTTAAAACGGACTGTTTTCTCTCTCTCTCTCTCTCTGATTAGCATCGGAATGGAGGTCAGCTCCAGCCCCGGTGAACAGGCCCCGGTTTGGAAGGTGGACTAGTCCGCATAACCAACGTCCATCAGTGCATCCTCCGTGGCACGGCACACTGTAACAATTACGCGGTCGCGTGCACGACCAGAGCAAGTGTGAACGTGTAAACGGATGTGTTTCCTCCAATTATCATTTCACTTTTGTCTCTGTGATATGCGTTTCCTATCGTATTCGCTTCTCTCCTTCCCTGAAGGCTTGCACTCTCTGTCCCTAGATGCTTTTATTCCTTCGCTGATGTGCACTGGTCACACTTGTGCCTGCTGTCGGTTCGCTAAATTTTCCATCGGATTTCGTTACTTCACACGTTGTCATGTGAACACAGCGTTGACGCGATATTTCTCCATTGTGTTCTCTAACCATAAACTCCGTGTCCAACTGCCCATCGCGCTTTGGTTACATCCGTTTCCTATTTGGTACCCAACGGTTGTCCAGACTACAACGCACTGTGTGCATTTCTTATGCTGGGAGCTCTTGCGTTGTGTGCTCGTGTTACAGGAGCGTCAAGTAACGCCGCAAAATCTAAACGCCTCCGCTCGCGGCGCAGGACACATTTCATTCCCCCAACGAAGTAGATTCAGAGTGAGCACAGCGGGTATAGAACCGAAGATATGCCTTTTGAATCTCACAGCTCGGCGTAGTGAGTTATTCTCTCTACAATCAAAGCGGGGTCCTGCTCTTTACTTAGTTGTGCAAAGCACTCTGCAAAGATTTGTCTTCTCACTTGTGTGTGTGTGTGTGAGCCTAAGAGATGTGCGTGAATCGTGATGTGTCAGTCACTTGATCGGCATAACTTGGTGTCTGCAGATAAGTTTCCGAGGGTGTTGCAATCCGTTCATCTGTCAGTACGCGAGAGCAGTTTACGCATAGATTGGACTTACCTACGCGCGAAGTTCGGTGCGTCGCGCCACTGAACTAGCTCGAATTGGTTACTAGCGTCCAGTACAGAACAAATGGCGAAGAATCTATTACCGATCAACGGCGACGTTATTATCTCGGCCGAATGGTCTTGTCCGCTTTCAGCACTATTTTCCGCGTGCCCATGCCTGATGCAGTGAGTGTTCGCAGCAATTCAGCGAATCTTGGAAATCCTCGGTCACGATGTACTATCACTGCTGACCGCCGTTCTGTTCGTCAGCATTCCTAAGATCCTTCTCTACCGTATGTTTCCAACTGCGCTTAAGAGTTGTTTTACCGGGGTGCTGAGCCACCACGATACGGCTTAAAATAACCTGAAAGTAGCCGGTCATTGCTCGGTACAGTCACTTTCGCATTGTTTTTGTCGCTCAGTTGATTCCAGCACCCTGTGTGGCACTAATCAAAAATCCCTCATTGTACGGGACACCTTCTCCCTTTGTTGTCTGAATAATTAGTTCCAAGTGCCTATGTTCAATCGATACGATTCATCTGATTCAACTGACCATAGCAACCATATATAACAACGAAGCTAACTAAAAGCTAAATGACATGAAGTGGTTGAGCAAACGCTTATTTTTAACGTATTCATCCCGTTAGTTCATAAGCTACATAGCATAGCTTAGTCCGGAAAAGTACCAGACGCGTTTCGCCCTATTAGGGCTCGTTAGTGGTGCGCATTTCCTCGGTCCCCTACTAGGGATCGAACCCATGACCACTAGAGACTGGTGCCAACCAGCCAGCAGCTTAAGCCACTGAATCGTGGGGGACGTTGGCTGGGCTACGTAATTTGCAAGCTAACTTGGGTATAGCACCACCTCTCTTCCACCGTCACTGACAGTGGCTAACCTGTGAGGTGCTGACGTCCTCTCGCTAGACGCTATGTCCATAGCGTTTGAAACTAGGAGAGGCTATTTGTTTTATATTAATCTGATAAGCCCCAATAGGGCGAAACGCGTCTGGTGCTTTTCCGGACTAGGCTGTGCTATGTAGCTTGTGAACTAATGGGGTGAATACGTTAAAAATTACAACTAAGATCCTGCTACTCAAGAGTAGTATAAACTCTTATTTGTCTGTTAGGATCCCGCGGTCACGTTCGCAATTCTGTATGAACTCACGCAGGAACGGAAACCTCGCCAAAAGTACACTCTGCTCACGGACGGAACACATATTTCGCTTCCATTTACTAAACGCAAAACCAGCAAGGCGGAGGACGTGATCTCTGAACGAGATCTGTTGTGATGACAACTCAAGCGTCTACCAATGGGTATAGATAGGTATGCCTACTGCCTTGTCTGAGCCGGGAACGAATTTGAGCGCACCACTTTTAAAGCCAAATAACGGTTAATAATAGATCCACATTTTTGCTGATTCTAGTGTAAATCTTTGGAAATCTAGCGTTTTTCCAACACTCTTTCTAATACAGCTCGTTTCTCGGACTACCTGGGTCCGAATGCAAGTATCATGTTATATAGCGTTTTCGGTCGGTACATCTTCTGTGTTGTGGTGAGATTCGATCTGGTGGTATGTGTGTGTGGCATTTCTGTCAGTGATCCTTGGAGAATCCGAACGTGTGTAACGACAGTACTTCTTCGGTAATTGTGACATTGTTGTGGCGTGGGCGAAGTTTCTTTTTGTGCCATATCCATTTAGACTGGTCCATCCGTCACTTCGTACATTCCGGAACCATGGCGACTTAAGACGATTGTGCTGAAACTCACGATTTATGAATTTGTCTATACTCACGAGAGTGGATCAAATCACAACTTGAGGACGCTGTCCCCAATGTGTGCACTAGGTTGGGTGACGAGTTTTTCAACGGGCGCATTGCTTAACCTTGAGCCGAGGATTTTCCTACACCGTATCCGCACATTTTGTAGGCTGTGATTGCTTCGGACGCTTTGCAACGCGGTTGTCAGTCACTTCATGCACCAACTCCTAGCAGCGCAATTGGGCTGCGGGTTTCGCTTATTTCCTGGTTCAGTATGGAGTACGAACATTAGGGAACATCATGTGGGGCGGTTCGAACGACAGCTTTGGCTGCATGACGCGTGATATTAGCATTCAAATGGGCTGCTCTTTACCTGCATGCTCACCGAGGTTCTCACTGTGTTTGTTCTGATTGCTCCATTGAGCATGTCATGATTTTGTGCATACACTGCCATCTCGTCGGCCTCCTCTTGGAGCATCAAACGTGGACCATGGAACGTTTTCAACAGCATCTTCACTGTGCTGTTCTAATCATTTCACTTGTCTAGTGGTTTCTTCATCAAGAATGGGCGTCGATCGCGCAGTTGGTTGCTCGTTTACCGGTGTGCATGCTTACACTGGCCTCATTATCGATCCGTTCGACGAGCACGTTTCTCACTCTACTTCACCTATGGCTACTGTGTGCATCATTGGCTAACCGCTATCACTACTGTAGTGATAGCTGTTGACTTTGATCAGCTGTTGAACGACGTGGTCACGAGCAATGTATAGATTGTTCCGGCGATCTGTCATTACGCAATCTTTACACGGCCACGCTTGTGGTTCACCAAGGCCTTTGCCATAATCCGGCCAAGACCTGCCCCGTGTGTTTAAAAACAATAAGGTGGCATCCTTCGCTTGTCACTGTCCTAGAGCTATTGTCGTCGGTCAACTAACCACATGTGACTGCTATGGCAACACCCTTTTGACGTCATATAAATCACTTGTCATTGTATTGCTTTTGATCATGTGATACGAAGTGCGCTCATATACCAGTGTTCGTTTTCTGAATGTGCTTTTCAAAAGCAGTCCAATTGGTAGTATCACATAGCTGAAGGCAACATAGCGCATAGAAAACAAAGCTGTGAGAATGTTATTAGTGGAAAGGGGTCTCAGCCTGTGCTCCATTTAATGCGACTTTTGGTCATGCACGAGATTGTACGTTATCAGATGTATGTTCGTGGTCTTTGTACCCTGACACGACCAACCGATTTTAGCGCCTTTACACTTTAGGATCAGTTTATGCCCTGCCCACATTGCTTTCGCTTCCAGGCAACTTTAGTGTTGAGGTATCCCTTAGAAAAAGAAAGCGAAGACTGCGTAGCAATTTAAATCAGTTATTAAAGAACACAATTTATGTCACTATTCACTGAAAGGCACTTGTTTCTTCTCGGCCGCCTGCTGGAGTTTATTGGTTTGCGCTCATCGTTCGTTCGGAGCTGTTTGGACCAATCCCGTTTTGGCCGGAACAAATTTGCGTTTTGTTTATGTCAAGATAAGCTTTAGGTACCCGGATGGGTACATTTTCAGCAACTTACAGTGCCAACTGCGAATAAAACAAAGTGATATCATCAAAATTTCAAACTTTTATATATGGTTAAATCAAAGGGAAGGATGCATTGGTGCTATTCAAGTAAAAAGACCTGCATTATTGGGCAACAACGCAAACTGATTAACAGAATCCTCGAATCACTTTCATCAGAGAGAGTAGAGCTTTACGAAGAGATTTCTTCGTAGATGATTGCAACTGGACTAAAAGTTTGTGGCTAAAAGTAACTGATCACGAATGTTGCGCGGTATCTCGACTTAGTATTCACAATACGGATAGTCACACTGTTTTGGTGAACTTATAAGTACTTCTGATAAAGACGATGTCCAAATTATCTTTCAAAACATATACGCGGTAGTTAAAGTCAAGATGATGTACGATGAAAAGGTAGCGGTCGAATTAAACACCCCGCCACAACTCCATTCTGGTCGTTTCATTCGGTCCTTGTAGATGTGAGCAGCAAGTTGTGTCCGCGGCGCCGACTGACTTTTTATCTGCCGGCTCTGTCCATTTCACTCGCTCAGCCTATCAGCTGTCATCACGGGATTCGCCACCCACCCCGAATCTCTGTCACGTGCGGGAAACTCGCTTAAATTTGACTTGGACCAAGATCATACCTGACTCGCAACGCTACACTCCAATTCCCTCTTGTTCAGTCGGCCTGTGTAAACGTGATCACTTTGTGCTCGTAGCGCCGATTGGTTTTCTAGTTCGCTGGCAGCGCGTCGGTTTCTTGCACCTGACTTACTAACTACGATCACATTTATCATGCGCAAAGAGGACACGTTAGAGTAAGTACCGAGCAGGCATGCGAAACACGTATCCAAGTAACCAAAACTCTACGGAGAAATGCTTCAATCTTATGATCGGTAGATTATATCTAATCTGGAAATCTGTCGGCGAGCGTCGTCATTACTGATGCATTGTTGACAGTACACTAGCTTTTCTTCGCAGGCAACGGTACCCAAATCGGGCACCTTCCGGACGTCCGTTGCTCGAATAGTCCAAGTTTCGCAACCATTAAGCAGGATCGGTGGTACCGTGGCATCATGAACTTGGCTCTCCAAAGTACCGCTGATTTCGCGTCGATAACAACGATTGGCGAAATTGATCCGTATTTTCGAAGCATGAAAGCAGCTGTTTTGTTAAAACGACGATGCGGTGTGGGCGAACTTGTTGAAAACGTCCAAAGGATGACCAGGAAGCATGAGCGTAGAAGCGGCTTTTGATCGGCCTTACAGCTTAATCTAATGCTTCGTGGCAGCCAAGTCTACACTAAACTGCGGACATACTAGGAGTGTTCAAAAAGAAACCGAACTTATGCTAAAACATCTTTATTACTCGTTGCACAAAATTTTAAGCACTTTTCTCCTCTAAGTAGTCTCCTCTACTGGCAATACACCGTTCCCAACTGTACTTACATTTT